CCACCGCTGTTCGGTGAAGGCCCTGCTCTGTTTTGTACATGGGCTGCTGCGGTATATACAGATATGTTTTGATTAGCATGGGGGGATAAGGGGGTCCCGGGGGCGGTTGACCCTGGGTTGTTGATTTCGGGCGTTTGGGTATTGGGCGTTTGGACACATGGATTTCGGGGCATACGGGGGGCGTTTGGGCATACGCATTTTGGACGTGGTTTTCGACACACGGGCATCTCGACATGCATTCTGGATATGGTTTTCGACACACGAACATCTCGACCTGCAGGCGTTTGGATATACGGGCATTGGAGCATTGGAACATTTGGGCGTTTGGACACACCCGGCATTGTGGCATTGGGGGGCATTTGCACGCACGGGCATTTCGACATGCAGGCGTTGGGGCGTTTGGGCTGGGCATGCAAAGACTCGCGGACTTCACAGTCAGGGATATGGGCAGAGGCTTCTTCACCATCCTCTTGAAATTGAAGCATCATTACGCACTCAATGCCACTCGCCAGCAGGCTATTACACAGTGCAAGTCTGACAACCACATGCATGCTGCGCTCTTTATCCTCGTTTTGTACAGTCTGGCGCCCTATGTCGAGGCACTCAGATGATGTAGCTGCCACCTCCCAGGCAGCGCCAGTCGCGCACCCCCATGGCCTCCTCCAGCTCAACGCACCACCACAGCACCTCTTTCGCCTTGTCCGGCTGGCCGCTCTCCTCGTGTGCTCGGGCCAAGGCGAACCACGCCTCGGAATAGTCCCAGCCAGTGCCGAGACGTGTGAGGCCGGATAAAAGGGCAAACGCTCGATCCCGAGCCGCAAGCCGATCGATGAGCGGCAGTCGAGTGGCCTTGTAGGGGGCCGGAAGCTGGTCGTCACCGACCGGCGATGGCGTGGATTTGGCGAATTTGACTTGCGGCTGCGGGACTGCGGCCGAGCCGAGCCCAAGGGGAACCGAAGGAAGCGACTTCACCGCCTCGTCTCGCGACACGTCCGACAGCGCATGCGTCAAGGACTCGAGTGATGGCTCTGCATTCTCCAGGGGCGGCACGGCCGGCGTTGGTAAGAGTTTTTCGCTGTAAGTGTCTAGCAGAATGTTGGACAAGCCAACCGTTGCAGCAGGATGATCTGGGCAGTGCGTCAGGGCATACTCAAAATCCGATCTGGCCGTGTACGGTTCGTTCTGGGCCAGGGATAAGAGGCCGAGCTAGAAACAAGTCAGCTGATGGATATAATCAGTCACTGGCACTGCCAAACTTACCTCGGACCACACATCGCCCCACAGGTCGTCGACGCTCTTCTTTTCGCCCCAAGTTACCGTCTTCGATCCGCTGGCTATTGACTGATCTTGAGACATTTCCGTCTCGAGACCATGGACCAGCTTCTGTGCTTCAGCGATCGCGCCCTTGCAGTCCTCGAGCAAGCCAGCCCGACGATAGAATCCGGCTATAGTCAGCCAGATGCCCACGAGCATCGCAATACGCTGGCTCCTCTCCTTCTCCTTGGGGAACTGCACCAGGGGGAGTAGGCTCGGTGTTGCGTGGCTGACATCGACTGATATTTCGGTGAAATCAGTTGACTTTGAGGCATTCGAGAGGTAGGAGTTCAGAGGCGACGTCGTTTTGGACTTGGCAAACGACGACATGCGAGTCTGAGACGACTTTGTCGAGAAGGAAACGTCTCCTTGCTCCAGCTCCGCACCGGGCGTAAAGAACGCATCGCCATCGACAATGGTTGCCTGTGGCGAGAAGCTTCCCGTGGTGTCCGTACGGGGCCGGCTGTCGTTCCTTTCCCTCTTCTTGAGACTGTTTCTGCGCCCAGACTCGCTCCTCTGCCTGTGACTTGAGCCGGCTCTCCGCGATCTGGACCCAGCCACATGAACGCCGTTCTCTTCCGTGACGTGCACCATCGGCCTCACCGTGGCTTGTGTTTGTGTCGTCGCTGGCCTTGGCACGGCGCCGTTCGACTTCTCGTCACTGAGGGTGGATGCGCTTGGTTGCCTTGTAGGTGGCCTTGAGCGGTCGACTTTCGATCCGAAGATGCTGCCTCTGATGCTCCTAAAGGTGCCCGATGTCTTGGGGGGCTGCGCTGGTGTCGTCAAGTTCGTAGTCTGCACCGTAACGCTGCCGTATAGCCGTGAGAAGAGGGTCAACAGCTCGTAGCTCGCATTCACGGCGGCGTCCGGTCCATCCATGAGCTCAGTGATGGCAAGCTCCGTCATCTTGATCTCCAAGATGCTCTGCTTCTCCGAATCATCCATCTCATCCACCAGGCCATGTCGCGATTCCGGTGCGACGCTGTCCGCACCGGCATCGTTGAGATGCTCGCTGCGAAAGCCTGAACCGCCCTTTCCAAAGAGGACCGACGAGTCCCTGAACTGCTCCAGCGCACCTTCGCAAGCCCGAATGGCCGAGGTGTAGTCCTGCCTGGCGCTCAACAGAAGGGCGAGAAGATGCCACAGCGGAATGAGAGTTCTCTCTTGCCAATATGATCCGCACAGGAGGTCGTAGCCCTCTTCCCTGCCCTTGTTGGACATCAACGCAGTCTTTGTCAGTTCAATGGCCGCCGTCAGCTCTCTGCGCTCAGCCAGCAAGAGCGCCAGGCTGAAAAAGCTTCTGATGTCTTTGGAGCGGCCATACTCCGGGGACAACGACTTTCGCAGACACCTAATGGCCTTTGACTGTATCTCCGTCCTCGAGCCCGCCTCATAGGTGAGCCTCGACCAATGCGCGTGTGATAGGCCAATGGCCTGCCAGGCCAGGGCCACGATGTGCGGCGCGACCCAGGGCTCCACGTCTCCGTTCGTTACCTCCTCGGCTATTGAAGGGGTGCCGTTCTCATTTGCGGTGTGTTTGCTTTGGGGCAGCTTGGACAGCCAGTCCTCGAGCTCTGCACCGAGGCGCCGTGCTTTCTCGCCCGCTTTTTGATGTCCGTACCGGCAGAGGGCTATGACGGCCAACGACATTGTTTCCAAAACGGTGCCGTCATCGTCTAGACTCGGCTCAATCTCGCCCGTCTTTTCCACACGAGCCTTTCCCTTTTTGACGATCTCGAGGTACGAGTCAAAGGCTTTTAGGGCGAGGTCGAAATCGGCGAGGGAGGTATGAACAAGGAATAGAGAGCGTAGAATAGCGGTCGAGTGATATGTTCTGGTTGCCGCACTGTAGAGGGTCTCCAGGACGCCCCGGCTGATTGCAGACCTGCCCCCCGGACCGACGTCTTCCTCGCGCCAGCCCCGTCCGCAGAGAATGGTCCAGTTCTTGATCACGCGCCGGACGAAGGCTTCGACCTCGGTTCTCTCCTCGTCTGCCCTTGGAAACGATGTCTCTGAGAGTAGGAGGGAGCGGTAGGTCGTCTCCACATACTTGAGCTCGGCGCGCAATTGGCTTCGTGGTGAGGAGTCGGCCGAGACGGGCAGGCCCCCTAAGTGGCCAGGCTGGTACGGTAGATCGTTCTCTAGTATCCGAGACAAGGTCATGTAGTATTCGTTCCAGATCTGCCTCCGCGGAACTGAACCTTTGAATCCATAGCCACCGGTGCCCGGCGCCTGCATAGAGTCCCAGTATTTGGCCCACGAGCGAAACGGTACGAGCGTTGCGGGATCCTCCAGAGACGCCTCCTCGCGGTCGACGGAGCCGCTCGACAGCATGCAGTACTCTGTCAGGAACAGTTCCGACCAGTAGCGCAGCTGCTTCCTGACTTTTCCGGTCAGAGTGCGGTTCAGGGCCGGCGCGACAGCTTTGAGCGCATCGAGGGCCTCCGTCCGCCGGCCGTCGCGCATCAAGCAATTTGCACGAAGGTAAGCCGACTTGAGGGCGCAGACGTGTGTCCATTCGTGGGACAGGGAGGCAGGGTCGAGATTGGTGCCCTCGTCTTGCAGTCGCGCGGGCAGGCGCTCGACCGCCAAGTTGTATTCACCCACGACCCAGTGTAGCCAGCCGACGCATACCTGAGCCTGGAATCGGTCTTCGTGGTTCACGCGCTCCTCGTCAATGGCACCCAGGAGCGTTGGTACTCTGGTGGTGACGTCGAGGTCACGCGCGGTGGTCGAGGCGGAGGTCCTCGCTCCAGCTGTCGTGGCATTTGAGATGGCGCACTCGGTCTCGGCGGCCAGAGTGAGACCTATAGCTGTTAGCATGGGCCCCGGCGGCGGATTTGCAGTGCGACGGCCGGCGGCATACATTTCCTGTCGGAAGCGTGCTTTCGGACTTTGCGAACGAGCTCAGGCACAGTGTCCCAGCTGCCGTCGCAGCGGGCGGCCTCGAGCTGGTCGATGTAATGATGGGCTTTGGTCTGGAGCCGCCATGTCAGCTGGGTTCGGTTCAGGGCCACGAGGCCGCGGCGCAGCTCGCCAGTCGTACCGTCATATTAGATCCAGGTCATTCGAGAGCGGCTTGTCGACGAGGTCCCAAAGGCATGGCGAGGGGATGACGATCGGGGGCCGTGCACGGGGGTTCGCGCGGACGCTGTGGCCGTTGAGGAACGGCACGGCGAGCAGGACAGCGGCGCAGAGCAGGGCCCGAAGCCGAAGGCGCACAGGATGGGGTAGGCTGTGCGGAGGGGAGGAGGCGGGAGCGAGGAGGGAGAGGACGGAGGCGAGGAGGGGATGAGGAGATGAGGACAAGGTCGAGGCGAGCGGCGTGCAGATGCAAAAGCCAGGAGCGAACGACCTGACTGACTCCCTGCCACCTGCCTCGGCGGCGTTGGGTGAAGCTACCTTGGGTTACTTGTGCCAATGGACACGAATGGACCTGCGGTGCTGCTGGCCGCCACTAAGGGGACGGCAGGCGGGCATCAATGGGCCGCGCCAGCCAATCAGCAGGCCATGTGGAACCCCACGACAGGGGCCGCCACAGCGGCGGCAGGTTCACTGAAGTTGCGACTGGTGGGGAGTGGGGACCCTCCTGGGCTGCTGCTGCTGCCACGGCCGGTGAGGTACCTAACTAGGTGCTGTGCCGCGCCTTGAGCGCAGTGGAGCAGTCCATGAGCCCCAGTGGGTTGCGTTGGTGGTGGTGGTGGTGGTGGTGCTGCTGCTGCTGCTGTGGTGCTTCCCCGTCGTCGAGCAGGTAAAAGAAAAAAAAAGTTCTGGCGGGCCGCCGTGGTGATGGCTTCTCAAGGCTACATTGCGACGCATGCCACGAGCCATTGAGCGCATGCACATCGTCTGAGGCCCGTCACCGTCCGTCACATTGCCCAGCGAGAGGGTACAAAGCATCTCAGCCAGGTGCAAATTCTGCGCCCAGGCCGCTGCGACGAGCCAGAGATTGCAGCGCCCACGCGCCGTTGGCAACACACTTACTGAGAGCGCCGCAAGCCTCCATCACCACATAGGTCGCCAGCCTCACTGCCAACGGTCTTCACACAACCCATACACAAAACAATGCCTCCGTCAGCGCCGCCCCCGGACCTGCGCGTGCTCTGCCGCAAACTCACATCCATCCCACCCGCGCAGCTGCCGCACGCGCTGCCCGCCCTCACGCGGCACGTCATCCGCTGCAAGGATGCGCTGTCGGCGCCGCACGAGCAAAAGCCCAAGGACGACGCATCGGCGCAGGGCACCGCGGGGCTCGTCAACAAGCTCAAGACCAACATCAGCACGCTCCTGAATGGCCGCTCCCGCGAGGCTAGGTTCGCCGCCATCGGCCTCGTCAAGGCCGTCGTGGACGTCGGCGGCTGGGAGATGCTCCGAGCCTCCGAGCCTTGGGTCCGCGGCTTGCTCTCCATCATACAGGTATTCCACACCCGCGCAGCGTCCTGTCGCGATTGCATATGCATACTGATCACTCCTTTTCCAGAAGGGCGACTCCTTTGCGGCCAAAGAGCTCGCCGTCATCACCCTCACCCGCATCTACGCCCTCGTCCATCCCTATCAAACCCTCGTCAGGGAGATTGCGACGCCCACCATCCCGGCCTTTGCCACTGCGTGCCTCCAGCTCATCAAGCCTCCCGCCTCCGGCTTGGCTTCAACGGCGCCCCTGTCCTTTGTCCAGACCGTTTGCGATGCCTTCTCAACGCTCATCCCGCTCTACGCTGCCACCTTCCGCCCCTTCGGCTCGCAAATCAGGTCCGCCGTGAGGGTTCTGCTGGCACCCACGAGCTCTGATGAGATTTCGGTCCCTCACTCGCTTCAGCGGTCAGCGGGCCGACTTGCCATTTCGCTGCACCATGTTGCCGCCAAGTCCGGCGGCAGCGAAGAGTGGTCCAAAACAGTCGACGCCGTGCTGAAGCAGCTGCATGCCACTGCAGACCAGGTCCTGCGCGCAGTCGACGAGTCATGGGACGCTTCTGGTGGCTATGGCAAGACGACCGTCGACCTTGGTGAAGAGCCCAAGGGAGGAAGCACATCTACGGATCAGTTACCGCCGTGGACCGGCTTGAGCGCCGGCATCGAGCGACTCATTGGCCTGTTCCGCCACCTCTCCGATTGCCTCCTCTGCCCGACCAAGGGATCTGTCACCATCCCCCTGAGCGCATTGATAGATGCCATCTCACGAGTCTGCCTGATAGCCCGGCAGTCGCCCAAGTCCCAGACGTGGGACCAGGCTCTCGAGACCAACGCTGCTGTCGGCAGAGACGAAAAGGAGGAACTATGGAGCTTGATGCCCGAGGTCCACATCGCCGCCCTAGGCCTCGTCCAGACGATGCTTCGCAGACTCGGCCAGGGCATGCTGCCGTTGGTCTCGGAGGTCCTGGACCACCTAGTCCGCGTCTTCAAGTCGGGCATGGACATTCCCGACGTGCGCAAGAGCGGATACGTCGTTCTTGACGGTCTTTTGACCCTTTCAGGGCAAACACTGCCAAAGTCCGCCGTCGCATTGCTTGAGCCCCTCGTCGCCGCCTGCTGCCGAGACCTGCAGCAAGATGCCGGCTTCCTCAAAGCCGCTAGCAAACCGGCCGCCCTGAGCAAAGACTCCAAGAAGGCCGGCGTCGCCAACGTGGATCTCTTCCTGCAGCCGCAAGCCTCCGCGGCCGAGGAAATTTCCGTCCTGGAGCCGGACCACAAGGCCGCCGCGGACGCCCTGCTCCCGACTCTGCTCTCCGCCCTCCCGCAGCATCACCTCAAGCCCACCCTGCGCGGCCTTCTCGACAAGACGGCCATCCTGACGCAGAGCCGCGACGCCATGCTCGCCAGCGTGCTGAACCCCTTCAAGGACCAGAGGGGCCGCATGTACCCCAGCATTCTGCCCCATCTGGCGCGCGCGTACCCGCACGACCAGGGCCTGGAGGTGCTGCGCAGCAACCTCCGCGTGAGCGCCGTCGCGGGAGGCAGCGACATGCTGGCGTCTGTGGACGAGGTCGAGCAGGAAGAGAACGAGGACGACGCTGACCAACCCATGGCCGATGCCGAGGCCGAGGAAAGCGAGGAACCCGAATCATCGTCAGGCAATGGAGTCCACGCCGCTGGGATCCTGCCGTCTGCGCCGCAAGTCGAAATCGACCTGCCGGTGCAGAGCAACCCCTTTGAGCCAAACACTGAGAGAGCATCCCGAGCCGAGTCGCCACCCAAGCGCAAGCACGAGGGGTCGGACTCGAACCCGCCTAAGAGACAAGAGCTCGAGAAACCGGCACCGGCAGCTGAGCCGGTCAGGGCCGTCCCTCAACCGCAGGCGCAAGCACAAGACGAGGACGAAGACGACGATGACAGTGACGTCAGTGTGCATCTGAACATGGATCTAGAAGACGACGAGGATGAAGACGGTGACGAGTAGAGGCCAGAAGAAGGGCGTCAGGATGCGTATATATAATATGCAGCTAACTAATGCGAACGGGCCTCTATGGCTTGCCCCCTGTTTCGGGTATTCATGTTGCGAAAACGCGGCTGACTGCGCGCGCGTGCTTTGGCTACCAAGGCGACTCTCCAAATGTTTGCAGTCCCCAGAGCGTCTAGAGCCAACCGGGAAAACCCATTACCTCCCGGCTCGCTGTGTCTTTGTCCCCAAATTCCCACGTAAACGCCGCGGACTCGCCAGAGTCCTTTTAAAAAACCCGAGTAAGAAACCCCCTCCCGAATGTGGCCCAATGGAAGACTGCTTGCGAGACGATATGCAGATACGGCAAATGAGTGAACGGAGACAGTGTGTGTGACAGACAGGCCGAGCGGTGGCATCTAATCCAAGAGCCACGCCCTGCGTTTCTCCTCCTTCCTGGCGCGACGCTTCTCCTTGAAGGCCTTTAGCTCTGTCTTGCTAAGGCGCTGGTTCTGGCGCTCGGCCTTGAGGCTGCGGCCGTCGTGCTGGTTGGCGGCGGCGTCGACGTCAAAGAAGGCGTTCATCTGGCGGCGCGATTTGGCCTCGTCGCTGTGGCGGCCGGGTCCCATGTCGCCAGCCTGGGCCTGACCGTTCCAGCGGTTGAAGCCCATGGACACGGCGTACGGGTCGCCCGCCGCTTCCGGGGGTAGAGCCGCGGCCGCGACGGCGGCGTCGCGCGCCTCCTCCTCTTGCTTGTAGGCCTGCGCATACCAGGCGTTGGGGTCGTAGTCGCCGTGGATGGCTGGGTTGTAGCCTCCGGCGGGAGGCTTCTCGTTGACGGGCGGCTGGGGCGCGCTCGGTGCGGCAGCGGCGGCGGCGGCGGAGGATTCGGCAGCAGCCGTGCGCGGGTTCTCCCATTGCGAGGCACCCGTGAATCGGTTCACAAAGTACCACGACTGGTACGTCGCCTCCCAACGGCACTCCCAGCCGTCGTCTTGAGATTCCGGAACGGGCTCGTTGGGAAGCGGAGGGCCTTCGGGCACCGGCTCCTGCGGCAACGGAGGATCATCTTCCGTCTCGCCCTCTTCCAGGGATTCCGCAGCGGAGGCGTCCTCTTCAGGACGCGCCTCGTCATCCGGCTTTGCTATCTTTTCGTCGCGGGGCGGCGCTCCTTCTGACGCGGCGGCCACAGATGAGGGCGGTGATGACGATGATGCGGCCGGGGACCGGCCCTCAGCATGCGAGGGCGACTCTGGTGCCGCCTCCGGGGTCGCGGCACTGGCAGCGTCCGCCGTGGGAGAGGCGGCTGTAGACATGGCGGTGGACTGGACCGGGCAGGGCAGATGCACGACCAGGCGTGGAGGCGCTGCGCCGGCAAGGGGATCCTGTCAAGCGGCAACTGTGAGCATCCCGAAGTCACATCGTCGCATACAATACTTAATGTAGGCACCTGGACTTGAGCGGTTGGGCGTAGAATGCTTCGCGACAAGACGTCTGCGGAACGTTGTCCCGGCGAAGAGGTTGCAGGAAAGCAACAAGTGGTGGATCCGCTGCAGGCAACGGAAGCAAGCAAGCAAGCAAAGCAGTAGCGCAGCAGCATGCAAAAGAGGCGAGCGTCACGGCTTTGCAGTGGAGCACGCCTGCCTGCCTTGCACGCCGCAGAGTCACGTGACTGCCTCACGTCAGCGCCTCTGCTCCTGCGACTTGCCAGATCGTATCGTAGATGAGGTGCGGGTGTTCCCGCGCCCAACGACCAGAAAGGCAATGCCTGCTGCCTCCATCCTCAACTCGAAGCTTTCATCCGGAGGACTCATTGAGCTGCAGGCCCAGAAAAGCACCGCTTTTCCTGGGACTTGCGCCAAGGACTGCCGCGTCTCTTGCTTTAAATGCCCACGATACGCGACCCAGCCGCCACGAGGTACGAGGTACAGACTCCCACCTGTTGGTCGCCAACTTGGAACAGGGCTTGGAGCCATGGACAACTCATCGTTTGTCCGCGCATGTCTTAAAAGTGGACGCTGCACATGCACGCACAGCCGGGCCAGCGGGCTCGTATCTGCCGGTGACTGACGGTCACCCCGTGCCGTCGGTTCGGATTCGTTGCTTCTGCAGCTGCACCGGCCCCCCGTCGATCACTCAGCCCACCGGCAGAAACCTCACGGGACACGGCATACTATCTATCTATGTGTGGGATGATGCTGAAAAAATCACGGTCTACCGCAGTCATTGTGACGCGCGCCCAGATGGCCTGGACCTTTACGACTTCTCCCGTGGGTTTGTGTGATCCTCAATTGGACTGCCGTTGCGGTTGAGCCCTCACCCCTCCTCCGGCGCAAGCAAGCAACAATGCGTCTCGAAGCGAGCTCCATCTTCATCGCCCTCGGCGGCGGCCTGGTCCGCACCGCCCAGGCCGCCAGCAGCACCGTCCAGCTCGTCAACGACACGGGCTGCGGCTGCTTCCTCACCAACGGCAGCGAGCCAACGTACTACGCCCGGCACATGTTCTTTGACTTTCGCAGCTTGGGCCAGTACGCGCGCGTGCCGGACATCATCACCAACGACACCGTCGCGTCGTACTCACCCCCCACCAGCGACTTCTTCGCCAGCGACCGCTGGAACGACACCTGGCAGGTTCAGGGCTGGAGCAACAGGAACAGTAGCGGCGGTCATGGCGAAGGCAAAGGGGGTCTCACCGGCGACGCCACGGTGCTGATGGTCAACTCCCCCAGCAACGTCTACATCGAGAAGAACAACGACAGCGGCGCCGCGTCGGACACGCACTTGACGCTGCGCACGAAGCGGCTCCAGGGATTCCAGACGGCGGCCGAGTTCCAGGCGCAGGACTCGCACTACCGCTTCCTCTCGCTGCGGATGCTGGCCCGCACCGTGGGCGACCCGGGCGCCGTCTCCGCCATCTTCACCTACCGAGAGGCCCAGTCGCTCACCGACGTGCAAGAGGCCGACATCGAGATCCTCACGCGCGGGCCCCGCAACAAGATCCAGTACACGAACCAGCCGTCGTACCAGGACCAGAGCGGCGGCGGCGACCACAACGGCGACGGCACGGGCGCCGACGGCGACGACCCCAAGGCGACGCGCAACGCGACGATGCCGCACGGCCTGCGCTGGACCGACTGGGCCGTGCACCGCCTCGACTGGACGCCCCGGCGCAGCGTGTGGTTCGTCGACGGCGTCGAGGTCGCGAGCATCGACTTCCAGGTCCCGCGCGACGCGTCCGGCCTCAACATCAACTCGTGGAGCGACGGCGGCCAGTGGAGCGGCAACATGAGCGTCGGCGGCGAGTCCAAGCTGCAGATCCAATGGCTCGAAATGGTGTTCAACACGACGGACGACGGCGACGCGCGGTCCACGAACAAGCAGCGGAAGCGTGCCGCCGCGGGAGACGCTGGGTGCAAGGTCGTGTGCAGCATCGACGAGACCAATCGCACAGGCACCGCAGCCAAGCTCTGGGAGGGCGCCGCCGCCGCGAGGCCCTCGTCGACTGCCGCATCTACGGTATTTTGGCTTTTTGCGTGTGCTGTTGGCACGGCGATGTGGCTGTCGGCAGTTTGACAGCCGATGCGGCGGTCAGCAGCAACAACACCACAGATGGTCCGTGAGAGTCGGATCCCGCCTCTCGGCGCCGAGCCCGCGGCGGGTGTTGCAGCGTTGCTTGGCAGAGTCGAGTGTGCGGAGTATGTAGAGTCACTGCGCAACGCGCATGCATGCAGGCCATGCCATGGGAGCGCACAGGTACATGCGGTTAGACGGCGCGAGGAGCTCAGGAAGCTCCCCCCCCCCCCAATCCATAGTATTGACGAAAATATAAAAAGCCGTTAGCGCAGGGCCATCCGTAGATGTAGAGATCCGTCTCGCCATCCCGATCGGCCTCGCGGCCCTTCAATGCCTCGATTCACATTATGAAACCCCCGCTCACGATCCCGCTCTGCCCCAATGCCTCACGACAAGCCATTCGCCCTTTTGCTCGGCCCCTTTCGCCGTGGCCCGGCACGCCACGCGCAGCACCGCAAAGCACAGCACAACCCGACCCAACCAACACCGGCGCCGCCCCACATCATCTCCCGCCCAGCGCCCACCAGCACACTCACGATGCATCATGGATCACGGCTGGGAAAGAGAGCCCGCCCTGCCCCGCCTTATTACCCCAGGGCGCGTCCAGCAGATGGGAC